GGTGACCATTCACCCAGTTCCCTCTGCTAAGCGTCCATCTTTGCTATTCTAAATAGCACCTCCATGAATCAAATTGTACACGTTATTTCTTATCTGTAGAGATGTATCTTTAGAATCGATGCCTAAAAAAAGCTTTCTGGGGCAAAGGGTAAATGCTTTAGCGATTTTGTTGGATCTTGCTGAATTCCCCTCCACAGGAGTTGGGACATTTTGCATTCCATGTATGAGAGCACTTCACTTGCCACAGCCTCACCAATTGTGTCGGTGAAACTTCTGGATTTTTGCTAGTTGGGATAGGTCAGAATTGGTACTTCCATGCAATTTTCATTTGTGTCTCTCTTACTGTGAGTGGAGGCAATCATCTTTCCATATAGGGCACTTTACCGCTGTGGTAATAAAAAATTCTCAACTTTGAGGTCCTTGGAGACTCATATGCAGTGGTAAGAAATGGCGCAGAGAGATCCCTATACCCTCTCCCTAGTCCTGCAAGCAGTTAAAGGCCATGTCTCAACTACTGTACTGACCCACAGTCAAGATACAGAGTAGTTCCTGATCTTTCTTTGTCAGGGAATTTCTGGGAATTGAACAAGATGGGGTAAATGCATTCCATTAGCTTCTCCCACTAATCACCAAACAATGAACCCCCACCAGAAGACTGAAAGGTTAAGTAAAGAAGGCAAACTCCCAGGGGACATGGGGACTTGATGAGAAACAACCCAGGCGTGAGTACTGGGAGGTTTTATTCTTGTGCCCTTTGTATCAGCTAGAGATACCTGCAGCCCAGAAATGCTGATGGCAGACCCCAGCCCTCTCCACGCAAACAAAGCCTGGTCTCTGCAGCTCAAGAGCCTAGAAGAGCACAGGTCATCACCTTTCCAACATACCTGTCTATTCTCCAGAAGGCACTCCAGAAAAGCCAGGGCCTTCTCCACCCGCGACTGGCAACCTTGTCCCCTCCACTCCCCACCCCCACCTTCTGCATGGTAGAGGTGATGCTCTCCCTCACAGAGCCTGTGGATGCAACTCTTTGTGAACTCCTTGCTTCTATATGACCTGTCCAAGACTTTGTCCATTTTTCTATTGAGTTTCTGAGTACGTTATAAAACATTTAGAGGCAAAGGGGTGGCCCCTGTGAGAAACTCTTCGCAAGCATTTCCCTTGCTTGGCTGTGGCCTGCTTGAGGGAAGTAACTGCCTTATTCACTCTCACGTCCTCCGCACAGCACAGTGCCTGACACAGCAGGTGCTTAATAAATGTGCGGATATATTGGGGTTGGAGAGACCACAAACAAGGCTGCCAGAAGTTGCCAGACAGGTTAAAAGACTGGTTAATTACCCTATGCCAAATGACGTTTATACAAGGTCAGGGATAAGAGAATAATGAAGGGGAAATTTGGTTACCATGGTGACCCTGTTCTGCCCGAACAAAAGCACTCACAGGATTTCATAGACTCCAGGAAAACAAATTGCCACCATGATTTTCTCCTGATTCTAACAACAGTGGTGGTGGAAGAGAAGAAGGAAAAACAGGTGAAGAAAGGGAGGAGGGGGAGAGATAATCGTGTAAAATAAAGTCCTTGGAAATCAACTAAATACATTTTAAAAAGTGCCTCAGGTGGAAATTATGTTCCACAGGTAAATTGACACCTTCTCTCTGGTATTAAGTCAAACAGGTGTTTCCAGCATCTGCTCTCGTTCTTTCTTCAACACAGTAATGTCTTGTGACATTTATTTTACAGGAAGGATGACTTCCACTTTCCAGGGTTTTTTTTAAATTTAACAAAAATTTTAGCAGTGAATTTTCACTATTCCATTTCTTTTTACACTAATACATAAATAATTTTTAAAAGTATTTATTCTCTACCTCTGAAACTAATAATATACTATGTTTGTTAACAAGTAAAATTTGAAAAATAAATATTATTTGAGAGGGAAAGAGTGGGGGAAGGGGCAGAATCTCAAGCAGACTCCCCACTGAGCGTGGAGTCCAACGATGTGGGCTCGATCTTATGACCACGAGATCATGACCTGAGCCAAAATCAAGAGTCGGATGCTTATCCAACTGAGCTACCCAGATGCCCCGATGTTAATTTTCTAAGCTTAGTAAATGCTTTAAAATTATAAAAATATGTTGAGTAAAAAGATGGGCCTGGCTCCCTATTCAGATAGATTTATAGGTGGGTTGAAACACATCTTGACGATGGCACTTGGCAGTCCTAATTAAAGCACTGATCCTGCTGGACGTAGCTCTGAGTAGGTATGACACATGGAGTCATAGCACAGTAATGTAGAATGCTATGGAGTGTTCTGCCCTAACAGATGGCAAATAGTGTTGCCCTGACAGGATGGTTCATTCACTGAGTGGTCTGCAGGAGGCCTGGTATACAAAACCAAATGGCACCAACCACTGCCCTCAAAGAGCTAACAGTCTGTGAGAGAAGAAGAAAACATATAAACAAATTTAATAGCCTAAGACATGCTTTAATGGTGTAGTACTGAAGGGACAAGAGCACAAGGGAGTGAGTGGCCAATTTTACTTGGGTTGGCCAGAGACGGCTTCCAGAAGAGCTTGAGTTTTTCTTTTCTCTCTCTCTCTTTTAAAGCAGGCTCCAAACCTAGCATGGAGCCCAACTCGGGTCTTGGACTCACAGCCCCGAGATCAAGACCAAGCCAAAATCATGAGTGGGACAACCAACCGAGCCACTCACCCGAGAGATTGAGTCTTAAGAGATAGGTTGGAGACCTTCTGGTGGATGAGGGTAGAAAAAACAGAGGCAAGCAGAAGCCAGATCATTAAAGCCCTGGTCTGAGAAGCAGAAATATTTGGAACTTTCTTTGTGGGCAATGGAGAGCCACTGAAAGATTTAAAGCAAGGTAGTATTTCAAAAGACACAATTTTGTATGTCAACATGGAAGACAGATTCAAGGTACCTACTTTTTTTTTTTTTTTTAAGATTTTACTTATTTGACATGAGAGAGGGAACACAAGCAGGGGGAGTGGACGGAGAAGCAGGCTTCCCATTGAGCAGGGAGCCCAATGTAGGGTTCAATCTCAGGACCCTGGGATAATGACCTGAGCTGAAGGCAGATGCTTAAGGAGTGAGCCATCCAGGCACCCCTGGAAGATAGATTCAAAACAGAAGGCATACCTTTGTATTAAGACAAGACTGGGAGTATCCAACAGTTGTTGAAGAAACAAAAGACCCTACAGACTGAAGAGGGACTTCAGAGGTTGAGCTAATGCTGATTGTACGGAGGAGATAAAGGGAGAGCGACTCGCAGATTTGGCTTTGAGTTACTAAGTGGATGGTAAAACAAGAGGAAGACTACATTTTGAAGGTGAATATGATAAATTCAGTCTAGGACGTGCTGAGTGTTAAGTTTCTGTGAACAAGCAGGTTGACATGACCCGTAAGTTGATAATGTGGGTCAGGAGCTAAGAATTCTAAGCTGGACATTTGGCTTGAGAGCCTTTTGCATGTACTTGGGGACACCATGAGGTTAAAGTTCTGCAAGTGTAAGGGATCATCTGCTGTATGTGGCTATTTACATTTACCTAAGATTTGACAAAATTAAATATCTAGTTCCTGGCTCACACCAACCACATTGAAAGTGCCCAACACCCACATATGGCTACAGGCTACCATACAGGACAGCCCAGTCCCAGAACATTTCCAGCACTGGACAGTGTTAGCCAGTGGTCCCAGAAATTGAGTTACTGATCAGAGGAGAACGGAGAAAGAATGGCAAGCAGAGGAAGAAGGGTCTTCCGTGGAAACTGGGAAAAAAGCCGGTGAAAAAGCCAAGCCCAAAAGCCAAGGTAGGAGAGAAAAAGCAGTAGAAGCCCACATGGCATTTAATTTTTTCAGTCACAATACTGAGAGAAGCTACAAGTTACTGGACACCTTCCATAAGCAAAGTATTGTAACAGGTGCTTCCCACGCTGTCTACCTAAAATCACACAAGCCTCTGAGCAAATGGAGCCGGATTGCCACTTGCTGCATTTCTCCTCACGACTATTACTAAAATTTAGTTTTGCATCTTTGCCAGTTTTACTAATTATTTACATGCATTATCAGGTATAGATAATCACTAACTTCATTTCCAAAAAGAATCAAAGAATGCAGTATAATTTTAAAAATATGACCTAAGATAATTTGCATGAAAGAAAAGCTTATCACCCTCAAGTTGAAAACTGACTTAATTATAAGCCAAGTTTTTGCTCAGCGTGTCAGGTGCTGTGTTCATTTCTCTGTTAGGATCCGCTTATATAAGTTCTTCAGCAATCCTTGGGTAGTTCCTATCATCCTCAAACATAAGATCAGGAAACTAAAAACCACAGGGGTTTAAAATGTTGCTAAAATGTCACAGTCAACAACGGGGAGGACCTCTAAATTCAAACTCAGGTCAGTCTGATTCCGGAGTCGTTGCTTATAACCACTGCCTTCCACACAGTCCTATTAAAAGTTCACTCTAAATCCTCAAGATTTATTGTAGACAAACAATGACCTCCATCCTTCTGATGCATAGGGTTTAAAGAAACATTCTGTGCCTTGGGAAAATCTTCTCCCACAAAGATGCTCAAGTGGCCTAATACTGCTTTAGTAAAATACAAAACCAACGTGTGCAGAAGACACAATTGAGCACTTCATTTCATAGTGTGTAGGTTTCTAGGTTGTTTCCATGTCTGTTTTATCCACAAAAGACAGTAAATTCCATGAGTATAGGTAATGTCTGATAGTTCTTAGAGATCAAAGAACTCACTGAAGGAGTTAGGAGGATGAAATTAGCAACAAAATTCAGGTCCACCAAAATATGTTATAGAAATGTGTTGAGAAAGATAAAAGTTTTATTTTTACAACCTATATATTTTTCTTTTAATTATAGTATAATTTTCAGTGATATAGCACTATGTTCTCTGAAGTCATTTAAATTAAGAGCAATAGAGTAATATGCTCCTCAAGAAGAACCTTCTCTAAATAAAACAATCTGGGTCCAGAATATCTCCACAACCTTAAATCCATGTGTTTAATATAGGACAAAAAATACAGATATAAGATCATTCAACTGAGTTGGCATGTTTCATCAGAGGACACATTAGTACCATAGGTAGGAACCTGGTCCAGACTAAGCCAACTCAATTTTATGGCTCTGTATGATTTAAATGACTAAATGATTATGATTTCACGATTGGATTTGTGACGTACAGTGTCAGTATCTCTATAGCTCATTCTATGCATAAAAATTAATAGTAATTCACTACATAAATAATTTAAGTTGACAAAAGTCATGATTTCACATTGCAGGCTCAGATACAAATCTAGTCCCTAGATATTATCTGCTTTAAAGATCTTCAACACTACCTGATACCTAGAAAACAAGAACGGCACTAAGGACAACACACCAGCTTAGTTTACTCAAGTTGTGTAGGCAGAAGAAATGTTAAAAATGACTCCTTAAATATTCTTCTTGGTAAAGTAGTATACTAATTGTACTGATGAAAAATATTTAAATTTTGAGATCACTAAATGTATTTAAACTGCTGCAAAGGCAAACACAATGGCGGCTTTATGCTTCTACTGCCATCTTGTGCAACCAAGGTATTCATGAGCAGTTCTCCTCAAAATTAGGAAAACAAACACAGTAAAAAAAACAGGTAAGCCCCCAAAAGTTCCTGAGCGAAAATAATTAACAGTGTCACATGGAGTCTTTAGAACATTATATTTCATAAAAGACAATGATAAAAAAGTACAAACGTTTCCATGAGAAGCAAAAAAAAAAAAAAAAAAAAAGAGAGAGTACAAGAAATTACTAGCATTTATTTCAGTGCATTTATGTAGAAGCCTTTCAGATCTAATAAATAAAATAATCTTAAGTACACTTCCTCCTTCTGATAAACAATACTATGGTCATTTTAGATCTCTCAATTGGCATACTTGCAAATACAAGGCAACAAATCTAGAGTACTAATATTCATCTGAAAAGTACACAGAGAAATATAGCAGATACAAGCAGAGGCCAAACAAAATAACACAAAACCTGCTTTCATTTGTAGGAAGCCTCCAAAAGAAGGACAGTATTGTATTGGTTATTTTCCCATTTTGTTTTAAAATGGATATCAATAGTTTGGCTGGAAAAGAAGTCTAGGCAAGTTTTTAACACGTAATTATATATTTGGATAATACTGTAAATAAGTTTTCTGGTTGAACATCTTTTCACAAAATACAAACAAATTTAAGTGTAGATTTTAAAAAATACTCATGTCTACACTTTTCCCCTCTCTTTTCTACAAACAGGCCATTAATCGTTACTTCTCTCTCGAGCTGACAGGCACTACATAACTTTCCCAGTAAGTGCCATAGGGACCTCATGATAGCCCCATGTCTACATATGTGTTTCTTGACTTTGAACCTAAGAAATACAACAGGTAAGTTATCAGAGGATGTCTTCATAATTTTAGAAAGGTTTCAACTTGCTTGATTTGATTTGTTCAGAAATACAATACTTTTTCTGTTGGCATACCTCACATTGCACTTCATACAGAGTCGGCAATCAATACACGTTCCCAAAGAAATCCACCAAACATGACAATAAAAGAAATTTCCATTTGCAATGCATTTGTTAAATTTTATGCAATAGATTTATTTTCATAAAAGGAAGATAACTGAGCAAAACTCTCTATCACCCTTCCAGAAACATATAAAAGTCATTCTTTATAGGCAAAAATCAATTTTACATGTGCACACAAAACCAAAACAAAACAAAGAGGGTAAAAGCGAAAAACAAACTAATGAGATGATTTTCACAGGATGACATACCGTATTCAAAACCGAAGAGAGCAAAATAACATGGCTCACTCATAACACAAAAGTGGCTATTAGACTTAATCCAAGAAAATAAGGCAGATACTAGTAGAACTGAGTTCTCCTAAAACTGTAAAATGTGTATCAAAATGAGAATTCCAAAATGTGGGCCACTCCACATTAAAAAGCAAAAAATATGTTTTACGAGTAAGACTCAGAAACAGCCCTAATTTTCCCCACAGTTAAAATATGTAAGTATTAAAAAAATATTTAAGTATTATTAGGTCAATTATGCTCCTATGCCCCTACTATCTTGTTAGTGATCACAAATGTTAACATTCCCAACCAACTTTCATTTCACCAAATTAAAAAAACTGCATTGGCTATGAGACCAAAATGAACAGATACACAAATTCAGAACAAATTTTTTTTTTTAACTTTTCAGAGTTCGATTTTTTGTGATTTTGAGGACCACTAAAAAAATGGAAAATAAATATTTTGGACATACTGCTAGAGAAATAAATACAGAAAATTCTGTTTGTATCATAAGGGAGAGTGATCAGTTTTTTCAAAGTATAAGAATTTCAATTATGTTATGATTTGGTTTGTGGTCATTTGTATTACTAATACTGCCATAAAAGATGGTATTTCAAAATTAAACTCAAACCTGAGATAAATAACCATATTTCTGTTTTAGGTGAACAATCTATGAGGCAAATATTATCCCAACCTCCCTCATAGATAGATTTCTATTGTTCTTCATTGTTTTTGAAGATTCACTTTATGGATACATAATTTTTTTGTTTTAAATTTGTGAAAATATCAAGATATTTTCTAGAATCTTTGGTTACCTATAGTTGATAATTTTCAAAATAAGGATATTGTTTGGTTTTGTCATGAAAACTTCATCCAAATTTAAGATCAAGTAATATACTGGATGTCAGGTAGTGTTCTCAGAGAAGTGTCCTAGAACATCAATCCATTTAAATAACTGATTATATATTTTAATATAATTCTATTAAATCATTTCAGTGAGGCAATTTTAAGAATACCAGGAATGTAATTTCTTAAAAGTGAAAAAAATATATAGTTCTAATAAAACTGGTTGACATTAGAGGTTCCCTTCAAAAACTTGAAATTCTATGAGTCTGAGAATTAAACTTAAAACTTGTTTTTATCTACTAAGCATTTATCTTCATAAAAATAGAACATTTAATTTCTTATCTAATATTATAATTCATTTGTGTAAGTACTACTGGGTTTTCCATAGCTCATTCTTTTAAAAACATTTTGATTTTTTTTAAATGAAAATTGTTTTTTGGCTCTTCTGAACTAGAAATAATAAAAGTGCTGTTCACTATGAATTAAAAAAAAAAATACAGTGTACAAACACACGCTACCTCAGGAAGATTTTTTGAGGCACAAAATCCCTGACAATTACACCAAAGATACATGAAAGACAGTTAACATAAAGAGGTCCTTTATATCATGTTAACATCACAACGTTTAAGATTTTCTTGGTAATACTCATGCAATGTGCATAAACAATATGGTTGTGATTTAGTAAAATCTGATGGGATTGCAAGCAAGGAAAAAAACAGGTAATTCTGGTAGGAAGAAAAGTGGTCTAAGTACTTTCTTCTTACCCTTTAAAACCCTAGGGAAGCTGTGACTTCTTCCACACAAAAGGCTGAAGGTCTAAAGCTCAAAACTAGTGTAACAGTTTACTGTGGTAGTTGACTGTCAATTATTGACAGTTCCTTCATTTCACACAAGGGTTAACCTTTGTTTAGTGACATATATTTGCATTGTTTTCTTCCATGCAAATAAAAAATGTCTATAAAAGTCCGATAAAGGCATAACCAATTACATGCAAAACTGCAACACATCTTTTTTTCAACAATTTGAACACGTTAATTTACATCACATATATACAAAACATGTTTAAACAGAAATAAAGCATTCTCTTGAATTAAATTATATATTTTAGTATAAAAATTTTCTCTTTGTAGGGAGCTCTCTTAACTTCCAGATTTCAGCAAGGGCCTTGGGTATCTGCAGCGCTCGCTGTGGGGGTGTGTCTCAGAGAAGAGGGTGGGTGATGGTCTCTAATCTCACACTGTAAACACTGGGGGCTGCTGGCTCTCGTTCTCACCACAGCAGCGCACCAGGACACACCCACTCACTGACCTCCAGTAAGAGTAGGCTCCTAGTTGATGATCCAGCATTGCAGTCTGTCTTGCCATGAGAGCTGTTTCCTTTAATAGTCCTCAATGGGAGCTAACTCTGGCATGAGGTTTACAGATATATTTGTATACAACCTGTCAACCAGTATTTTTGGCGTATATATTAAATTGTTCAACCCATCGATGTACTGACGCTCTTTTGAATATCTTAGCAATTTATACCTATGGTGTTAGAGAAAAAAATGAAAAACAACAGGAACATGTTCAAAAAGAAAAACTGACGACAAATATGGTCAGGATCATTCTTATAATTAAAGCTTTTAAAGCTTTTTCAATTTTTACTTTTCATGTGTAATTAAAGATCTTTTAAACCATTATCTAAATTAGCATTTTTACTAGTTTTAAAAAGCCTCTTGAAAAAATTATTTTGCACACTTACAACTCAGACATCCTTAAGAAATAAAATGTTTTATGAAATAATACATCTTATGTTAAGGGAACACTTTTTATGTAAATAGTTAACCGGACTCTTTAATATAAATATATACATATCTCTCCTCGAAACAATCACAAAAATATTTTACTTCTATAAGAGAAAATAAGATCAACAGAAAATTCCCTGCCGAAGATTTTTTTGAGGCTGCAATGTTTTTTAACAAATTTTTCATACATCAAAAAATTCTGAAACCTTTTTATCTGAAGGTGATATTAAACTTACCGTCCTAAAAATTGGACTTCACCTCGATGGTGATGAGGAATAGACTTGTATTTTCCCAAGTCTCCCTCTGGCCTTGTTACATTGTATCCAGCATAGTGAACTCTACAAAACATGGAAATAAAAATATAAAGGAATAAACTGTGACATAAAAATTGACTACCTGAATTTAACTTGAAATGCAGAAGAATGCTCTCATGAGAGTGGTCAATAATTTCAGAAGGCACTCTTAATGAAGAAAGGCAGAAACACAAAGCAGGATTTAAAAACCTCAAAAATTTTCCATCCCCAAAAATCTTTTCTTGGAATAGCAAAGTGCAATGTAACTAACAGAAAGGAAATTTATACAAATTCTATTATTAAGCAGTTTGTACCTCAACATACCTATTCCAAAGGTCATCATCTTCTCCTCCCCATCCCCAGAAGGCATTAGGAAAACCATTGATCTTTCTAAATTGTTCCACTGTCAGTCCACTTACACCACCAAAAAACTCTTTATATGGAAGACTAAAAAGAAAGCAGAATACAGCATTCTAAAAATGAAATCAAAACAATTTGCCAACTGAAATCAAGTTTTCAGTCTTATATGTGCCTTGCAAAATATATTCTTATTTTCCATATAAACAATTGTGCAGATTAAATCATATTCTGGGAAATATAAAGTACACCAAGAAAGAAAACATTTCACAGTCTAGCAAAATATCTAACTATGTTAGGTAAAACACTTGTTATAAATGAAATTTAATACTCAATATTTTTATTTTGTAAGACTCACAACCCAGTGTTCAAAAATTGGTAAGACTTCCACAGCAAAGCAAACTTGATTAAATACATCAATAGTTGTCAATGCAATGTTAGATGCTGTTAGGCTAATAAAGTATTCTAAATCAATTGAACTTAATTATAAATGTGTCATTTATTGTGTAGATAGACCAGGATAAAAATAAATTAGTAATTACAACTCTAGCATTTAATTTTGAAATGACTAGCTGCCTGTTCCAATAATAATCATACCTGTTTGGTATAATACCATAATATGCACAATATTTACAAATATATTATTTTTAATGTACTAATATTTAGATAAATGACTTTTTGATTGAGATATAATAGACATATAATACTGTATTCATTTTAGGTATACAACATAATGATTTCACATACATATATACTATAAAATGATTATCACAATAAATCTAGTTAATATCCATCACCATACGCAGTTACAGAATTCTTTGTTTTCTTGTGATGAGAGCTTTTAAGACCTATTCTCTTAGCAACTTTCAAATATATAGTAGAGTATCAGTAACTCTAATCCCCATGCTGGACATTACATCTCCATGACAAATATAACTTACAACTGAACTTTGTACCTTTTAACCCCCTTCAGCCACACCCCCCCCCACCAGCCCACCACTTCTGGCAACCACCAATCTGTCCTCTGTATCTATAAGTTTGTCTATTTGTTTTGGTTTCCACATATAAGTAAAGTCATATAGTATTTGTCTCTCTTGGAGAAATGACTACTACATTTTCAAATTTGGATTTAGTTTCCTTACCTTTCCCTAACTCATACACCAAGGAATTCGGCAAACCAAGTTGTTTGTTTAGATATAGATTGGTTTTCTGATCTACATCTAGATATAGAGCACCCCTAGACTTAGTTCTGAGTAAATTCCTGTGGCCCCAACCGTACTAATGGGAAGTGGTACAGCAGGGCCCCTGCAGAGGTCAGGTCAATGTGGGGGGCCAGCAGGGAAAATCCGACCATGCACAGCAACTAGAAACCGAGCTGAGGGAAATCCGGCTGGGACTATAGCAAAGCTGCCTCAGAGAAGGGGAGAGAGCAGATCTCATTGTTTTTGTGGGAGGACTGTCATCTCGTCTCATTCCCTGTGGGAAGAAGTGCTGGGTGCCCACGGAGATCCGGTGTGGAAGAAGCAGCTCCTGCATGGACTCAGTGGGTGAGGAAGAAAGCAGTCTTGGCCCCAATGGCTAGAGGCGCCCAAGGACAACCACTGTGTCCCAGGAGACAGCACGAGGTTTAGATCTGGGAAGTAATAGTCCTGCTTATATCACGAGCTGGGGGTCAGCAGGGCTGACAAGTATTGGTGGCACTCGTCATGGCATGGTTTCCCACGCCAGTTAGATTCTTCTTCCCCAGGCTGCTGGTTTGGGAGAAACTCCAGATCAATAGGTAGGTAGATATGGATAAGTGCATGTGTGTTTTCATTAACATGTACAAATTGGTAAGCACATTAATTCCATTTATTGTTCTGTTTTAAGTGCAAACAATCAATTGTACTATATCCAAAATGAAGAAAAATTAGGTAAAAGGAAGACATAATAAATAAACTAAAGAAGAAAGAGAGAGGAAAAAAAAGTATTCTTTTCCTGTTCTAGTGATGATTCACCTGGTCATGTCCGTAACACTTTTTGCCTCCCCCTACCCTGTAGGTCAGGCAGCAGGCATAACTGTGAAGTAGGGAACATCTCCTTTGCTCCAGGCTTACAACTGAACTCTCTGTTCTGCTCTGTCCTCTCTCCACTTCCATCAACCAATGAAAACTGTGATTACTTGCATGCTTCAGTGTCAACTTAAGTTACTGTCACAGCTCCACTGACTGTTTACATTTCAAGGAATGTGCAGTCAGAGAGCAAGAAAGGTCTGCCTCTTACTAATAAAGGCAAGACAAGAACCTATAACTTAGAAAGAAGACACTACAGAGAAAGGGCCTTCTCCGCACCATAACAAGTCACTGGAGAAGGGGAAGCAGAAAGGAGCCACCATGAGGGTTGCGTGAGTGGCTCAGTCAGTTAACCGTCTGCCTTCGGCTCAGGTCATGATCCCAGGGTCCTGGGATCAAGGCGCTCACTGTGCTCCTTGCTCGGCCGGGAACCCGCTCCTCCATTTCCTCCCCACTCGTGTTCCCTGTTTGCGCTCTCTGTCACTATCTCTGTCTCTCCCAAAGGAATAAATAAAATCTGGAAAAAAAAAAAAAAAAAAAAAAGAAAGAAAGAAAGAAAAAAAAAAGGGAGCCACCGTGTGCTCCATGCACCTACTCAGGGCAGGCCCAGGGTGTGTGGTCTCCTACAGTCCTAGGGTCAGACTCTACGACTCCAACGATCAAGAAAACCAACATGCAGGGATAGAAGGAACAAACCAAGTCCTATCACTGGTACGTGGGGAACCCGAAGTTAAACCTACTTTTGCCTGACATAGAGCCCAGATTCTCTTTCCCATCTACCCAAATGCACACCTCTGTGTGAGGAAGCACCTAGATGGCAGGCGAGTGACTACCCCAGCTCCCTGTGAAGACCGAGTGGAGTGCAAGATCTCTCAGGCTTTTGATCCCTCAGATCCAGGCACATTGAGAGAGCTACCCCTTCAATGACACGATTTTTAAGTATACGGTCTGCTCTCAAGAGGAAGGCTTATTACTCACATATACATGTATTTATCCAGCTTTGCTGCAAAATGACGTGGCATTTCTCCACAGCCGTAATAGTTTCGGTCATTCTCGGGTAGATGATCCACATCATGGAAGATGACGCAGTCCCAGACACTGTCTTTCATGGCCTCTTTGAAGCCCACATTGAAGAGCATCGCACGGTTAAAAGGCTGTGTGCCAGTCTTCACAAAGGAAAACAGAAACGTAGTCAGGCTTTGTCATCTGACTTTGCTCTATGGTTTTCTAACTTGTTGAATCATGGTCAAATAATAAGAGTTAATACATCCAAGTCAACTAGATAAAACAAGAAAACATGTCAGGTTCTCCAAATATGTGGTTTAGATTTACTTACTACATTCTTTTGTACTTTGGTCACATATAAGAAAACGCTGTCATCTAGTGCATTTATGGGATGTTTCTGTTTTACTTCAAATACATCAGAATACAGATCACTTATGACCAGGAGAAAAAAATAAAACCATTTAAAATAATATAGGTTGTGGGGCGCCTGGGTGCCTCATCTGTTAAGCGTCTGCCTTCGGCTCAGGTCATGATCCCGGGGTCCTGGGATCGAGCCCCATATCAGGCTCCCTGCTCATCGGGGAGCCTGCTTCTCCCTCTCCCACTCCCCCTGCTTCTGTTCCCTTTCTTGCTGTGTCTCTCTCTGTCAAATAAATAAATAAAATCTTTAAAAAATAATAATATAGGTTGTATTTTTTATTAAGAATTTTTTTTTAAAGATTTTATTTAAAAATAAATAGAGATCACAGGTAGACAGAGAGGCAGGCAGAGAGAGAGAGAGGGAAGCAGGCTCCCTGCTGAGCAGAGAGGGACTCGATGCGGACCTCGATCCCAGGACCCTGAGATCATGACCTGAGCCGAAGGCAGCAGCTTAACCCACTGAGCCACCCAGGCACCCCTAGGCTGTATTTTTTAGTGAAGCTTTCCATATGTGTCAAGGCTAAGAGAAGCATGAATTTAACTGGGACAGGACAAACAGTAGGTCTCTGCTTACAGAACCAGGCCAGTGAGAGCTAATTCTGTACTGTTAATTCTTACAATAAAGACACCAACATTTTGAGAGACATAAAGAAGTGAAACTTACTACACAAAACGCAACTTCCTTTATTACAACCATTTACCTTTATTATTAAGAAAAGTCTATTAAAGTGCATGAGCAACAAACACTTCCTATTTTTATTATTCTTGCTTATGATACAGACCAAGAACACTTTAAGGGACAATAAGATGGGAACTTATTACACAGAACCCAACTTCCTACACAATATTCACTTCCCTTTATTTATGAGGGAAATTATATAAAGGTGCACCGACAATGAAATTGCTTCATTCTGTATCTGAAGGAAATTAAACAGCAATTATCCACGCCTTTGTAATATTTCTCAAAATCATTTCCAAACTAGAAAATAAAATAAGATGATGACAGAAGCAAATGAGATACACAGCACAGTCATCACCAGAGGGCTGCCGCCGGAGGGAGAAACTAATTTCCAGTCCCGAGCCCTGCACGAACTTTACTTTACTTTTACTTTTCCCTTTACTTTTTACAGCTTCTTTCTTCACCATTGAAAAGGAGAATAAAAAGGAAAGGGAGTTAAGTTAAATTACAGTGTCACTACTGGCACATCAACATCAGTGTGAACAAATTCCTTTAAGGTTTAAAAAATTGGTTTTATTAAGTGTGGACATAATACTTTATGGCTTATAATCAAAATAAGAAGTCTATGTCTAACCCATCCTCACCTTCCAAAAGTAGAGCATTTCACCTCCTGTAGTGGTTTATCCGGCACTTCTCTCCATATTGCAAGGTGATGAGAGTTCTGACATTTCCTGGCTTCATTAATGTTAGACATTGTCTACTGACTTCCTACCATGGCCACTAAGGATTCACACCACCATACTCACTGCCCCTCCATCCATTTTCCCAATACAGTTATATCATAATTTACATCATTAGGACTGCATAAATATTTCTTGAGTGCAGAAGCACCCGAGTGGCTTGATTGGTTGGGCATCTGACTTTGGCTCAGGTCATGATCTCAGGGTCCTGGGACTGAACCCCACATTGGGCTCTCCACTCAACGAGGAATCTGCTTCTCCTCCCTCTCCCTTTGTGTTCTCGCTCTATCTCAAATAAATTATATACACACACACACACACACATACATTCTTGAGTGCCAAGTGAATTATGATGCTGTTTTTTAAACTGGGATTAGTAACCAGCTTCTGTTTTCTTAGTTTTCTATTATTATTCTGTACAAAAGCCCCAACAGATAAACATTTTACTTATTAATAATTGATGTAATTCGAGCACATCAAGTCATCTGTCAACTCCTTTTCCACCTCCTCAAGCCCAAAGCCAATTCCCACTGCCCTGGATTCTTGCTCCAGTCTGGAGAGGTCTAACCATGGGTACCTCTCATCCTAGGACTTCTTCATTCCCTGGCATCACCCCTGTCCCTGACATGGCTTTCTCCATTTGTTAAGGCACATCCCTCAAGAGCTTCCTAAGTAAGGGTCCATGAAAAAAAAAAAAAAAATCTATCTATCTATCTATCATCAGTCTACCTCACAACTGATTGACATTTTGGCTGGGTAAAAATTTCTAGGTTAAAAATCACATTCTCTAGAATTTTATTTTATTTTATTTATTTATTTGTCAGAGAGAGAGAGAGAGAGAGGGTACAAAGCAGGGGGAGCGGCAGGCACAGGCCGAGAGAGAAGCAGGCTCCCTGCTGAGCAAGGAACCAGAGCTGGGACTCGACCCCAGGACCCCAGGATCATAACTTGAGCTGAAGGCAGGCACTTAACCCAAACTGAGCCACCCAGGTGCTCCTCCGCTAGAATTATAAAGGCCTGGATCCACAATCTTCTAGCTATCAGCATTACTGAGAAGTTTCCTATGATCCTGATATATAATCACTGGAAATTCTACAGAATTTCTTCTTGATATATTCTCTTTTTAATTTGTATTCTAAAATTTCAAAATAACACGCTTCACAGTGGATCTAGATTTTATTCATGTGTACCTGTGAGTTCCTTCAATCTGAAGACATGCCTTTCCTTCTGGGAAACTTTCTTATATTATTTCTTTGGACTTTTTCCCCCTACTCCCTCCCCAGTTTCTTTGTGCTGTGCTTTTCCAGAACTTGGATTAGTGAGTCTACTGCTCATTTTGAGCAGGGAACTGGGACACAACCCCACAGATGCCTTCTCTCTGCTCCATGACATCTCGGCCTGGCCTGCCGCTTCCGGGGTCGGGGGTGAGGGGGTGGGAGCTCGCTCACACAGCCAGCAAGGTGATGCTGCCAAGTTGGTTTCCCCTCCCCAGGGCTGCCCGAGTGAGCTCGTGACCTGGCAGCTGGCTTCCCTGACGGTGAGGGATCCAAGAGACCAAGGCAGAAGCAGCCAGGTCTTTCTGACCCACCCTCAGAAGTCACACACTGCCATTCCTGCAGTCTGGCTGCCCAGGCAAGTCAGCCCATATTCGTTGTGGGAACAGATGACACGAGACCTGGCTGCACAGAGGCAAAAATCCTTGCGGGCCATCTGGGAGGTGGTTACCCTGTGACATACTGGTACTGACTGATCGTCTTAATTTCTTACATCTTGTTCTACTTCAGGAGTTATTTTCTTAAGTTTATCTTCCAGCCATTGTACTCAGTTTTGTTTTAGTTTGGGCACTTTCTTTTACAATAACATCCTTATTCCAACTACTCTTCCTTTATGACGCCCTATTTTTGCAGATTCATGATCTTTTCTCTCTGTGGATATTGATTATGAGCTTTTGCTGTTCTTTTAAGATTTTCTCTGTTTCCTTCATTGTCTCTATTCTCTACACTCCTTCTCTTGGATTGGTTTTATCCCCTCTCGTGCAAGCTTTCTTCAAGATCTGAGTAGCCTTGGCATTCATTCTTGAGAGTGAGGCTCTAAAAAGCTGGGGAGAGCCTCCACGAAGCTATGAGAGCTCTGTGGCATCCCGCTCTTGACTCAAACACATGCACCACACATGCACATACACAACACCGGTGCATAAGCAAATCCTTAAACCAAACTAAAATATAAAACCAAAAGCCCCATTCCTCTCCCATGCCCTAAATGTTGACAGCCCAGAAAATGGCAACACCCTTGTTCAAGACACACATGCCAGCACTTCAAACAGTTCTCCATCACTCACAACACACATCTGATTCGTCAGCAGTAATATTACTTTTCAACCCGACGTAGTCCGCCAAACCCCACCACAGCTCACCTCCCCCTCGGCGACTGCGGCAGCGCAAGCCCATGTCTCCTCCTGCCGGACTTCTGCAAAGCGCCACAGCTGCCCTCATCTCCGCTCCTGCCCCACTCTGCTCTCACCACAGTCATCTTTTCAAAGCCTCAGTTAGATTATGTCACTGCTTTACTGAAAACCCTCCAGTGTCTTCCAGCCTCACTGGTGATAATCCATGCCCCCACCCTGGCTTTCCGCCCTCCATTTTTGCTTCTCACGCCCTCTTGGACTTCCTCCCTGACACCATCCCTCACCCAGTACTCCAGCACTGGACAGACACACTGGCCTGGAATCCACATCCCATCACATGACTCAAGGCTGCCCCGACATCACCTCCCCCAAGAGGCCTTCCCAGAACAGTCTATATAAAAGAGCACATCTCCCTACCTTTACTGCTCTCTCTGCCCTTTTACCCCCAAACCCCTCCTGACATATCACAGGTTATGTACTGTCCATCTCTCCTCATCAGAACAAGGGCCTTGCCTTGCTGAGCTCACTGCTGTAACCCCGGTGTTGCATGAAGGAAAGGGCTTCATGGAGCTGATAAGGCGATGAGCTGGATCTTCCTTTGGAAATTTCTAAATATTAGATGAGGCATCTTTTACCTGGGGCTAATCAGTTTCTCTAACAAAGATACTAGTCATGCCGTGCCTCAGTTGGAGGGGCTGGGGGGATTCGTACCGACAGAGAAAAGGCCTGAGGGGTCCCTAGAGCTGGCATGCAAACTTACTTAGCCCCTCTGTTCCAAAGCCCCCCAAGCTGAGCTGGGCCAGCAGAGTCAGGACTTTCTGTGGTGTGGTTTCTCCAGAGGACAAACTTAAACACTGATTTTTAACAAGACACAATGGAGTAATCCCTTGGCAGCATAAGCAAAGATGGGGAAGTGGGAATCTGATTGTTTTGCAATCAAACTTTCAAACAACCCTGTTACTTTAGCCCTGTAATTCAGTCTACCTGTGACATCTTTCAACTGCTGGGATCCGCGGGACTTTGTCCAGCAAACTGACTCAACACTTGTCACCATCACCCTCCACGAGCATGTGGGTTTGAACATCCTCTGCTCTATTACAGGAGCTGTGAGTGCCCCATCTGCTTCCTGACGTCCAGAAATGTGTTGCAATCTCTCAACGACCGACTCTTTTGTCCTTCTGGTTTAAAACTTTTTTTTTAAGTTTTTTTCTTTCACTCTCGTTTTAGGAGTTTGAAAAAGAGAAGTGGTAAATGTGTGTTCACTGTTCCCTATTTCACTGGGACTTCTAAGCTGTTCTTCAATTGCTTGGCTCTTCTGGGCACCAGTCCAGCAGAAGAATCAATCTTCTTTTTCACATGTGGTAAAAATGTTACTACCTCAAAACCACCCACCATCAGATACATGGGCTGAATTAATACTGATCAAGGCTGAGGTTTAGACTTAAGTCGTTTATAAAATATGGATCTTAGCTGGTTTGTAAAGGTTGCTTCATCACCTATACAAAATAATTCAGCGGTGCTGGACTCTCAGAAGAATATGCCTTTAAAAGCACAAACACAGTGCCCTCTTCCATAGCTCAGCCGGTAGAGCGGAGGACTGTAAAAACACAGAGGCACACATCTCACCTCCCTACACATTAGAAGACTGAAGTTTCAAAAAAGGAAACTAGCAGTTGGTAAAACTGACCTAGAGGTTTTTTAACTATGGCTATCATGAAAGAAGTTTAAAGTTTTGATTTGTTATCAGATAATAAAAAAATCCATTTTCATAGTATAGGTTGTCACATTAAAAAGTACACATACACTATATGCATCACTGCATGGGAACAAATCACCTTAAAAAGGTGATTTATATACAGAGAAGTGTAAGTTATAATAAACACCAAGCATTTCCAGGGGGGGAAATACAGGCAAAAAGCTAAAAGGAGATCTAGAATAAGCCACAAAGGAGCTGGGAAAACATACTATATATAATAATCTTAGGAACGTAATTTGAATATGTTTCACACACACAAAAAAAACACAACAAAGGAGCATTTAATAATGTAAGCTAGGTCACTTTCTGTCTATTGATAAGGAAATCCATTTTTAGTCAGGTTTAGTGTGAGTAAAAAGAAGGAATATCAGGATAAAATGAGGTTATCAAGGTCAAAAACAAAAGTACCCAAATTACAATATATTTGAAACACAAATGGAGTGCACCTTTTTAGAAATGCTACCTAGAAATCACTGATAAAATTCAGCAAGTGCCTCGTGCTTGGGAGGTGGGGATGGGGAAAGATGAGGGAAGAAATCGAAGACAATACTTTAAGTATAAAACTAGGTAATGATAGAGGTGGAAAAAACTAAAAGTATGGTAAATATCTTCAAAGGGTGCAAATAAGACTGAAAGAAATTGTAATGTATGGAATACTGAGGTATGAAAAATATTTATAGAAAAAAAATTAGCTGATAATATGAAGACTAATTAAAAAAATGTTTCTGGTGAGTGCTGTGAAGTGTGTAAACCTGGCAATTCACAGACCTGTACCCCTGGGGCTAAAAATACATTATATGTTTATAAAAAAATTTTAAAAATTTTTCAAAAGTTTCATTTTAATAGGTAAGACATGATGATTAAAAACAACAGGAGCACATCAGCTGATAAATGGATTAACAAATGTGGCATATGTAACATACTCAATCCCAAATAAGAATTTACCCAAATATGAAACTAAAGAGTCACTCTAAGCTAAACATTTTTAAATCCCACCATATCTAAGAATTTATTAAGTTCCAGTACACTTAGGTACCATTTTGAAAAATAGTCTCACCTGGGACACTGTGTGGCTCAGTCGGTTAAGTGTCCAATTCTTGATTTCAGCTCAGGTCATGATCTCAGGGTTGTGAGATCAAGCCCCACATCGGGCTCTGCACTGAGCATGGAGCCCACTTCAGAGTCTTTCTCTCCCTCTCTTTCTCCCCCTCCCCCACCACTTACACAGACGCTCTCTCTAAAAAAAAAAAAATAAAATTTTTTAAAAATTTTTAAAAAGTGAAAGAAAAAGAATAACATTCTCACCTGTTCAATGACATAAAAGGCAAATTCCAGCCTCTGCTTCTGGAGCATTGGAATCAGATGCAAGAAAAAAATCGGAAGATGTTCATGGCGATTACGGAAAGGAATGAGAACTGCCACCTTTAAAAACAAAATAGTCACATATATAAATAAATAGAACAGCAAGCCCTAGAGGTAAAGATAAAAACTGATCCTTAAAAATTTCTGAAGGTTTTAAAGTCCTACCTTTATGGATTTTCTCACCAGAGATCCAACAGTGAGAAAACATAGACATGGCCCTTGCCTTTGTGCCACTTAGGGTCTTGTGAACCTGGGGAGGTATAAGTGGGCTCTGAGGGCCACTCCTTAGATTGCGTCTTTATTCTAACAACACCATGGGAAATCTTGGAAAGATTCATTAAAAGTGATAAAATCCCATTTGGGGATGGCAAACACTACCATGGAGAGTAGACTGGAAAAAGCCCAAAATAGATTCAGGTTGCTGGTTAGGACATTAACACAATTAGTCAATACAAGAGGCAATGGTAGCTAGAACTGAGGAGAGAGTGGAGGAGAGGAGAGGTACATGAATTTTGAAACATTTAAGAAGTAAATTAACAGGACTGGTGTATGGATGGGATAGGAGTTAGGGGAAGGGATGTGTCAAGAGTAACTTCTAGGTTTTAAAGCAAATCATAAATAATAAATTCATGGTTTTTAAACTGAAATTAAAAGAGATCCCAATTGAATATCTACTCTCCTACACGTGACTTACCTGGCCTAGAGTTATTTTGAGAAATATAAGGGATATATCATAGAAGTATCATAATTATATTAATATCTTTCATTTAATCAAAATGCACAACTGAATTTTTGATACATGTTATATTTATTTCAGTGATAGGATAATACTGGGTTTAAAGTGAAGCTTAACAAAAAAAGTAATGTAAACAGCAGAAAAGAGAGAAATTTATCTTTTTTAAACAGCCAAAAAAATGTGTTTCTTACATAATCTAAAGGACAAAAGAAAAAAATATATATATGGAAATTAAATGGTTTCTCCATAAATCAATGTTTCTTCTAATAGGAAAAAAATATGTATTGGGACTCTGAAAATCAAGACTAAAAAACAACATCTACATAAAATGTGTTCATATAAAATAAGAATAAATGAATATTATCAATCATCACTTATTCAAATCCCCTATTTCCTGGATCCAAACTTTGTCATACAAGCTAGGTTGCCCTACAATTTAGATTTTGCTCTTGAAAAACCAAATGTTTTCTAAACATTAGTTTTCTTTTTAAAAAGCCCAAAAAGATAGTTTAGCAAAACTAAGAACGTCTAAACTAGAAACACCACCATTAATTTTCCCTTAATGCAGGGAGGCACGACGGCCGCTACAATGCTGCAGTCTTCATGTTCACACTGTCTTATATTCGGTATGTGGTAGGAGGTCAGGAGGCTCTCGTGCCTCTGCCAGCCCCACTTTGGATCCCATTCCCACGTGGCTTTCTGATAAGGCACCTCTTGAACTGAAGACCACAAGGCTGCTGGAGCAAATCTACCCCACATCTAAGTGTCCCCTTGATCCCCCCCCCCATGACTGGGGACCTGCTGGTGGGAGTCACTGTCCATTGCTGGTGCAGCCACACTATTCCCAAATTGGTACAACTCCCAAAGCTAGTAAGGACCCCTAGGTTCACTCTTAGGAGAGTGAACTGCTACGCAAAGTCAAAGGAGAGGAAGGCGTCAGATGGCAAGAAAGACCCGGACCACTAGCCTTATCTGAAGTGAACAGTGTGATAACTTCTGCCCATCCCTCATTCTGAATCTGGCCACAGGTTAGCCGCCTAGGACATAATATAAATGGGCTATAAAAGCAGTTAAGGAGGATTATGGATATTTAAGGAAAGAAGCTATTAAATGGCTGCTGAGTCCATGTTAATTAAATGCAATTACACTGAGTGATGAGTTGAACATCTAAGAATAAACAAAGTCATAGTCCCTAATACAGTCGTTTGTTCAATGAAGGATTTAAAATATCAAGAGCTATTCTTCTTTCTTAATCTTATAAAGAAACGGAGAATATGGGAAATGAAATTACCAATGTCTTGACAAATTCAAAATAAGCCAACTGTTCTCTTAATAGCAAATAAATGTCCATTTTTTAATGTGACAGCTATCAAATATTTTGAATATTTTGCCTAAAGTAAAGTTTTTATTAAAACAAAGCTAAATGGTATCTTAGAAATTCATTTGGCATATCCCTTCTTGTGGCTGTGGAATGACATTCTCAAAAAGTTTACAATTTATTGCCTAGAAAATGAAAATCTCAGTGTTCTGCAATAATCTATTTCAAGATTTAATAATCTCTGTTTCAGGGCATTTTTGGCAGGTACCCTAAGTTGCTGTTTGAGCTACTCTCCTGTTGATGCATTTCCAGTGGAGACACACAACATCTGGTCATTACCTTCTGCAAAATAATACTTCATCTTCATGAATCTCTCCGCACCACCTCTTATTCAAGCAAAATTATCCCATTCAGTTTGCACTCACTTTAAACTACTAATCTTACTGAATTTATGCACCTATTTTTCTCGCTTATTTTCTCTTATTCTGACCATGAGAAGATCAGAAAGAAAAGTGTTTACTACATGCTATTTCCCATCAAGTATGTGTCCTACTTCCAAACTTCGAGCACACCAGCAGCTACGGTGTCCCTGGGTGACCCAGCTCCACGCTTGCCTCCAGCGAGGGCTCACTATTCTCCCACTGCCTAGGATGGAACATAGCAGAAGCCGCTGAGCTCTCATTCTCCGCAGTGTTCTGGCTCCCTCTTTCTCAGCCTTCCCACTTCCAGTGTCTACAGGAGCTTCTCAAACAGGAGGCACTTGATAAAAAAGGTTCTTGTCTCTTCCCACCAAGAGCATCAGAATGTCTGAGCACTATGTTCAAGAATCATCATTTTTACCTTCTTCTGCACAGGTGGCTAAGACTCATCTCTGAGCCATCGGAGATGAGAAACAGAACCCCATGCCTCTGAACAGACACATGTAGCGGGCACTGCCTGGTCCTTTCAGACTTTAGGTTTTAGACAGAAGTGGCTCAGACCTCCCACTGACTCCCAAATGGAAAGGCAAAGCCACAGGTGAACACTTTACTTTGAATGTTCGGAAAAGCATCGCCATCTTCACCTTCTATCCACCCCCCTTCAAAATAAGCTTGCCTTCCTCCATAAGGCCTCCAACATGTGCTGAATTTTCCACTTGAACCTCCAGTGTTCAACAACACCTGAGAATTGCTGAAATCATTAGATTTGGAAGATCTCAGTTCCAATTAATAGGCCATCAATGAACTTAGTTGTTTTTTTTTTTTTAAAGAAAAAAAACCTCAAATATTAAGAATCATGTTGGTAGCCCATGTGTAACATAAATCTAGTAATTCTTTTTCTCCCTCTCAGCTCTGTTCTAAGATTGGAATGGGACGTTAGGAAAGTGTAAACAAGTTGGGGGCAGAGAGAGGACAAGGAGAGTCCTTACTTAATTAGTTAAATATGGCAAATTCAAGTCACCTCTGAATGATGTCCAAATTTTGTCTCCTACCTTTAGCTGCATAGCTCAGAACTAGAAACTTTTCTGAGAAGGGTTTGTGTCAAGTTGAAATAAGAACAGCCATTACCGCACAGTTCCTTAATAAAATAAGCTTATTTTTAGATCCTTGAGTTAGCTTACTCCTAGGAACTCCACTTCCAATATTGTTACTTAGTCACTCACATGGAGTTTACCGTCTACTAAAATCTTTAAAACAGGAACTACTTCTGTGTGTGATATACCTTTCTCCCAGAAAATGAGAAGAAAACAAACCATAAAATTTAAAATCCAGTGTCTGATACAGACCAATGAAGAAAGAACAATACTTAATTTTTCAATTCCAAATTATTTTACCATATCACACCATGCACACCTGTGCAGCATGCTGTACCCTACACTGATACGTCTGAGGACCAACTCCACACTACTGCACAACCGTTGTGATTAATTGTGCTTTCTTCTCTCATTTGCATTCAATATACACACTCATCACCCAAGTAAGAAAAATAATTTATTTGCCTGGGACATTTTTTAAAAGTAGAATTGTGTAAATTAGACCCTATTTTACCTACAAGTGTGAAAAAAATCAGTCGTGAAATACGAAGATTCATTTATTAATGGAATCTGACCAGACAACTATAAAATAAATGATCTGCCAAAATTTGTACTGGAATCCATTTAAGCAGCTTTACAACTTGTTTGAGGCAAAACAAACAAATAAACAAACAAAACAACAACAACAAAAAAAACAACCAAAGCTGTATTTAATAATTTGTCTCAAGACATTTATTTATCTCATAACCTCAATTCAACAAAACCAGGTTTAGGGCTTACCTTAGACAAGATAACATACTCTGCGTTAGGGATGCAGGTATAAATAACACACTTCCCCAAACATAAAGAATTCAAGGCCAATTAAGTCAAAGGGCTTTTAACTAAATTCTCCTTCTCAGTAGTGATTTTGTGTACAAAAAGACATATATTTTAGCAAAATACTAATGCCGAAAAGAGGAATTGAAACTCTTTCCAAATTAAGGCTATATTACAATCCTTGAGGATAGGACGTATGATTTAATCATATGTAGTTTTAACTTGAATTATGTGAACGCTACTTCCTACTCAAACATAACCGCCTTACCAGAATATGCACCCAACTAGCCAATTTCACAGTACTGTGAGCAACTCTGATTTAAATCACGGTTTTCAATTTATTTTAAGCAGCAGAGGCAGACCTACTCCCTTATAGTTTTTGAAACAAAACATTAATTAGAACTCTGACATGTCAAAAAGATAAAAAGCTTGTGCTCTGCCTTCTGAAATACCAAAGTTTTCCTTATCACGTCCCACGGGAACCTCTGAGCCGCCCCGTCAAGGTTCTGGGACTTTGAGGAACCCCGACGTGAGACCCACCTGGAAATCACGGTTCAGGACTTGGTGGGGCTATGCCTGCAGGTGACAGTAATCATTAGGGATAGCAGCAGGAGGCAGAGAAGGAAACAGGAAAACAGGGGGAAAAAAGCTGTTTTCCAAGCCAATCTCAAGTGAGGCATTTATTAGCAGAATCTCCACGAGATGCACACGAGCACGTATTTTGTTAACACACAGGTCTGGTCAGAGTCTTCACAAGGAACACTACTAGATCGTACCTCAACTGTGAACACCTATACATTAAATGCAAAACTTCTGAGGTCTTAAATTTTCAAGAGACAAATGTATTTCACTGTATATCTTGAATCAAATGCACTTTTCCTCACTTAGACACATAGGAACAATGACATTACTTAGGAAAAAATTTACCTCACCTTCCATCTGGGTTTACAGTCTTTAGGCCTCCAGTGACCTCCTGGCTCAATATCTAAATCCTTGGAGAAGAGTTGATGAATTTCATCAAAACTGATTTCACTTACATTGACATTGAGGAATCCCCCTAGAAGGTCAAACACGTGAAGAACTGTTTTAATATGGAGCAAGACAGACAACAGTCAGTAGGGTGACGGCATGACTTGGCTGCCAGGACAGTCCAGTGCACTCCTGTTACCACCACGGAACTGTTAGTACCACCCCCTCTCGGTTCTCATCCGGATGATACCTGATACGAGCACTCCACCGTCTTTGGTAAATAAGCCGAAGATAAATCAAATTGTTAATTATTTTTTGCTCTGAGTACTACAGTGAATATTTTACTATTCTTTGGGAAATGTTTGCATGTCATTATAAATTATCTTATTATTGTAATGTTACAATGTGTTCAAGTCTCTTAAAAGGACTTTTAGTTTCAACATAACGAACATAGGCAGCATGAGAGCACAGTACATAAGGGGGTTAATGAAGAAGTTAGATTGGCAGGGAGCTGCCGTATCCTACCTTCTGTGCACTAGGGACACTATGGAACTTCTCTGTGCCTCAGCTGCCTTCTCTGTAAAAGTAGATGGTGGCGCCTGCCTCTCCATGTGGCTGCATCCACTAGACAAAATAGTGCACATGAAGGATGAAGCGGCATGTCAGCCACAAAGGCACGCACTCAATATACGCTAGCTGCTATTACTCTCCTCTACTTCACTCACACTTCTTGAGAGAATTTGCAAACACAACTCAACGAATTTATATTTCTAGTACCTATGCAGTATCCCCTTGATAGGCAAAAGTGGAAAACTACAGGCTTTTAAGATGTTCCTGGCCTACTAGGCATTCGCTCTCTGAATTAACAAACATATTCCCGGAGGTGTTTTTACTAGTAGCTTCTCCGCTGTATACCACTGAAATAGGAATGACTCTTGGATGGAAAGCCATTCCATCCATCCACCTGTTCCATCTACCTGTTAACTCAATCAAAAACAGGACTAAGAACTTACAGAACTAAGTTCTGACTCACTCTTCATCTCATGAAATACATACCAACAAATGAGGTTTCCCACTTCAAGTCCTCTGAGCCTGAGTGGCCCTGATTCCATGTATACAACCCTCAGCTCCTCTTGGAGAGAGCCCTTCCCTTCCCATCCCTCCCTCCTCCTAAGTAGGCAGGAAGACCAGCAGCTTCCACTAAGCACAGAGGCAGGCCAAAGCGAAGTATTCTAAAATATAAATGTCTACAGTTCAGAGGGTAAGCTGGGAAAAAATGTGCCATCTTTTCACGTCTGCCAGTTCTCCTGACAATGTTCGTGGTATTTTACAACCAATCACCCAGCCTTTCGTGTGTCAAGAGTCACCTAAAGGAAAGAGTAACCTATGAACTTGCAGAGAAAGAGCAGGTCATGACGTGAGACTGACGAGCCCAAGTACAGTCTCCGTGGACAAACAGGGGATCTACCACCATAATCAAATAAAACTCACACAGATAAATCAGATGCACTCAGTGGTGTGCGTGACGGCTAAAATGATAGTCATTAGGCTAAATTACAGACAGTTCACAGAAGTCTCCGAAGCTTGGGGGACTCTTGATGGGGGTGACACCGATTTCTTTGTTGGTGCTCCAGCTTGACAGGGCCTGACCCGGCGGCCATCATCAGCACAGTCAGCAGCTCTCTCCAGTCTCTTTCCGTGTAGTTCTCATCTCAAACACGCGTGTGCTGGCAAATTAGGAAGCTAGCTATCTATCTCTCTTCTCCATGGGCAGGGCCTGCGGGGGCCACTGTTTTCCTCTCTAATGCTCCAGGCACCCTGAGTTCACCTCCCCTCCGACTGCCCCACCATGCACATTCCTCAGAGTCCCTTGGCAGCCTTCCCGTGGTGCTTACTGCTCTTGGCTCTGAAATCCTGATCTCTTACTGGCTGATGGCCGAAGACGACCCAGTGGCATGATGCTGCATGCCAGCAGTCACAGTGTTACTATTTGTGGGGGAAGGGGGTGGCGGGTAGAGGACAGGCCTCCAAGACAGGACTGCCACCACGGGGAACTGCCACCACGGGAATCTTCAGTTTCCACGGGGAAACTGAAAATGGGACCAGAGAGAGAGGAGGAAGAAGAAACGCACACTTAGTGTGATGGGGTGACGTGTGATGAGACCAACAAACTCTGATTTGCGGAGTTGCTGCTAAGGCATTTCAAGGTATGATAACCCTACTCACACCCTCCCAGAGGCCCAACATTTAGATAAGGACGTGACTTTAGGATTTCTGCCATAAATTCCCCCTTTGCTTTTCCCACCGCACCTTTTTAAATAATCACGTAGAATGAAGCCCACTAAAAAAGTTAAGCAACCTCTGCCCCAAACACCCTGAAAGTGACAGGTGCTGGCTCCCTGCCCCGTCTCCTGTTCACTCCACCACAGAGGCCTGTCCTTCTCCCAGCTCACTGCACTCCCTGGCGTCTGGGATCTGTAAGCGATTAAATCTTGTGACTCTACTTCCTTTATGGGGCTATATGAAACTAAGTTCAGTCAAAAGGACCCCATGGGTTTGGGTTTCACTTCCCCCAAGTGGGAGCGTGGATGCTGAGGGAGCTACCTGCCAATCCCAGGTGGCAGCAAGTCACCCTCTGGGTGTCCTTAATTCAGCACACCAGTCCTGTTTCTCAGCACAACTGGCAATGAGGAGACGACTGTGCGTGCGGCCTGTAGCCGTGCACGACGCCCCGGAGCTGCCAACGGCTTCCTAACACCCTCTGCCAGGCTCAGTCTCCCAGGGAGGGAGCCCGGCCGGCTGGCAGTCTGTGGCATGGCTGGGCACCGCTGTCTACTGCGGCGGTCAGACATGGCCACAGATCCCCCCCCCCAAACTGTGGCTGCTGTCAAAGTTAGACTGCCTGCAAAGACGACTGCCAGCAGGCCCCAGCTGAGGTACGAGTGCCGGCGAGGTAGCAGGTCTGGAGGAAGCTGGCAATACTCGCCTGCCAAAGTCCCAGCACCCGGCCAAGGTGAGCTGATAACCACGAACACCAGGGCTCGGCCTCCTTACCCCGTGCAGGGAGACGGGATGCGAGTGAGGTTCCAGGAGCAAGGAGAGTGCCCTTAGAGGAGGGACCCAGGGGGAGGCTGGCTGCTGTACCTACCATGTTGCTGGTTGGGACTGGGGTGCCGAGCTTGGCAAGCCAGCCAGGACCCACGGCAGAGGTGGTTCTCCGGGGGCAGCATGGCGCTCCGGGTGGCCAAGGCTGCCACATTCCTTGCTGTTGTCACAAATGATTCCCCAGCTACACGGGATATCAGGAGCCCCGGCCCTGGCCTGGTATAGCAAAACGAATTCTCACTGAAAGCAGGGGCCCTGAAAACATGGTAGCAGCTCCTCCCGTTTGCCCAGAGGAGGCTGAAAAACCACGAGACGCTTGCAGGACCCCTGCTCACATGGCTTGGGCTGCATCGAGCAGTGCGGCATATCGACGTGCCTCCGTAAGGCTGCTACTACGCTCTTGAGGCCTGGGACACAACAGCTCATGTCATGCTGGTGGGAGTAAGCCCCGACCACCGAGGGGGTTGGCTGGGATAACCTAGAACGGGAGGTGGCAGCACATGGGTCAGGGAAGAGGCCGCCTCCATCCCAGGTGTTCCCTGTTACTGTCTGTCCAACCAGAACATCCAACCACCAGGGTGAAACGAAAGAGGCAAGTAACTAAACAAGATAGAAATGCTAAGGTTTTCTAGAAAAATCTGCACATGGGGAGGGGGAGAAGGGTGCCAGTTGGCTCTCACAGGTCTTTTGAACCAGCTCCGAGCTATTGGTTATAGCACTTAAGATGCCTGCCCTAGCCATTTGGCCAAAGACCCCAAAATTCACAAGTTATACAAAAAACAGCAAACAAAAAAACACCCAAGGTAGTGAAGCCTTTTTTTATTAGAGACATCCTAGGGGAGACTCCGGACTTGTCAGCACAGCGACAGCACTCCCAAAGGAACTGAACTACCGACGAAGGAGATGATGACAAACAAGGGAAGAGACTCCCAGGAAGAGACCACTGCCACTAGCCTCTGGGGTCCAACAGGGATAAGGGGAAAGCAGTTCCGCCTCTCCTCACTTGGGTTTCCTTGGCTTGGCTCCAGGCCCATCCACCCATCACAGTTACTACAGCTCAGGTTCACTGGGAGCGGACAAGCCCAGATGAAGCTCCCTCCTCCCGTGGAAAACTGGGATGGCTCACTGGGCATGACGTGCTGACCATCATGCTGCCACAGACAATCCCCCGCCCCCCACACCCCTCACCACTTCCAACCCCGAAGGTGCCCTCGGGGCCAGAATCTAAGGAGTTCTTTTTTTTTTTTTCTTTAAAGATCTATTTATTTCTTTTTGAGAGACAGAGAGAGTACAAGCAGAGGGAGGGGCAGAGGGAGAGAAAGAAGGGAAGCAGACGCCCTGCTGAGCAGGGAGCCCAACTCACTGGATCCCATGACCTTGAGATCATGATCTGAGCCAAAACCAAGAGTTGGAGGCTTAACCGACCGAGCCACCCAGGCGCCCCTAAGGAGTTCTTCTTAAAGCTCCCCCACCCCCCAGTTATAAGGACAAAATGTTACAACTCACTATAGTGTCAGACACAGCACAACAGGCATTAAACCACAACAGCGCTGTAGCTAAACATGATAATTTTCCTGAGGCCAAACCCTGTTTGCCAGTGTGATGAGGGCGAGCAGCCCCTCTGCCCCTTCACGCAGGAACCCAACAGAAGCTCCTAGGAGACATAAGGGCTCCCAGGCCCCTTATTAGTCTCCCTCGATTCAGCTCCCTCCCACATATGATGACCAACAGGCCCCTCTGTATGGGCAGCTCTGGAGATCAGGGGTCTCTACTCCGAGACGGCTCAAATACGAGTCAGAAGCCTTTGCTCAGACGCTGTGGGCTCTTTGAAAGACCGCCAGCCCACTGTGAGAGCCAACGCCATCACCACTTAGAATGTCCCAGCCCTGGCAGCAGGATCTGGGGTCCCATACTCTGACCTCCAAGAGTAGAAGCTGCTAAGGCCACTGCCCTAGGGACCCAGCAGTTCCCCAGAGTCTATCT